ATATATAATTAGGTTTGCACACCTGGTGTGCAATCCATGAATCTTGGTGCTGTAACCTAGACTAGCCTAGCCGTGGCTGCTGCTGTCTCACCTCCTTTCAGATACGCTCTCTTTATTCAAGGCTAGGTTTAAAACAGTCCTCTTTAGTTTAGCATATGGCTAGGAAGGTAAGACTCAGGGAAGGCTAAACTCCTCAGACTGTCAGTCAAGCTGCATAGGGAGTCAGTTTGCTGGGAGAAGTATGGTAACTTGAGCACTATCCTCTCCTCCTTCCTACTTTATCTGTTTAGCATTTATAGGATTTTGACTGTAGTTTGTTCATTGCTATTCACCCGTTGTCCCATTGTCTGTTTCATGGTACGATGACGGGACCTCTGAGCCTGGCCTCCTCCATCTACACCTGCGGACTGCCCCGCCCGACCCGCCTGGGAGTGCTTCAGTCCTGCACCGGACCTGTCCACGTTCAGCGGCCACTGGTCCACGTTCTGTAGCTATAGCTTAGGTCCTAGATCATTAGCCTGTCCGTCCGGAGGAGCGGATCCCTTTCTCAAATGGGTCTCCCTCCCTGTGGGTTTCCCTAGTTCTCCCCAAGGTTTCTCACTTTTTTAAGAGTTTTTCCTTGTCGATGCAGGAGGGTCTTGTTGGACAGTTAGTGTCCAACAGAAAGGATTGGTGATGATCAGGACACTTTAGCATTCTACAACATGTATGGACATTTTCTTCTGTGTGTGCTTTATATTCTTCATGTGTTTTAACTGTTGATTCTCTGACCTGTGTTGGTGATTTCAATGGTTTTGTTAAGTCCTCTGAGATGACTTCTGTTGTGACCTATAGGGCTATACAAGAATAAATTGTATTGTATTGTATTGTATCTTGCACGTTATTTAATAACACAAACTAGCCCTAACATAACATCGTAAAATTGCATACTTGTAATGTGAGAGGTGTGCCTATAATCTTGTCAGAGTGGGAATATGTTTATTTTTCTCCAAATCTTGCATTTCATGCGTGTTTTGGCGTGTTGTAATGAAGGTTGAAATGAGCGTATACATTTACACCACCTCCAGACCTGGCATATATTTTTTGCGTATCGTACGCTCACGTCCAGATTGATAAATGCGGAAAAGTGTAAATATTTTGCGTACGCATCATTTACACCCTGATTTGGCCGTACACAAGTTTCATACATGAGGCCCACTGTGTTTTCAATCAACACGAGTTCATTTTTTTCAGGTGTTGGTGCATTTGCCCCAGGTCCAACCTCCTCCACCAAACAAATAAAATAAATAAAAATGAAAAGAAATCATGTAAATGGTATGAGCAAATATGGCGCCCTGATGCAAAACGTCAATGGCGCAGGGTCTGGTTAGTGAGTAAACGGCTAAGGAAAAATAACTTCACGGAGCAGGGGATTGAGACCATTATGAACGAAGTGGGAAAAAGAATAAAGTCTTACTATTTGGAATTCTCAAAAGTGGCATCAAGGGGCTCAAAAAACAATGTATGGAAAGAAATTACAGCATCTGTAAACAGCGTGGGGCCTGCAACACTCCTGAAGAGGTGAGTTTATTCATGTTCGAAGAAAAATACGCCATGTTATATCAAACAGTTGATATATTGGGCCAATAGTAAGAATTCATTAATTTATGCTACAAGTGAAAAAAAGGGAGCAACCTTAAAATGTAACAAAAAGGCGTTTAGCGCAGCCTATAGAAGAAGTGCTCAGCAGCCCAGGGGGAGGACCGCCAGACCAAAGCATCCAAAAGAAAATATAAAGAAATTCAATTATCTTCAAATTATGTATGTGATTATTATTTTAAAATGGTTGAATGAGAGCCTGTCTGAGCTGTATAGGCCGAAGGCGGTGCTGGCCATGGTCTCTCATCCATGGGGTGCTCCACCAGTGGCACACTGTGGTCCTGTGCGTGTTGTGGAGAACCGAACCAGGACCATGTGGCACACTTGTACCGGGAGGTACCAGAGCGTATACCCCCTGCATGTCCCAAAGCCTGATCAGACCCGCGCAGCGCTCCCCGGTGGTCTTTGCTTGGACCCGCAAGAAAAGAAAAGAAAAGAAAAGAAAGAAAAGCATTTTGTTGTCCGTCTAAGCCCCATGGCCGGAATACTTTATGGAATTGATTGAACATTTTAATTTGACACAGCATGTTACTGTCGCCACACAGTTCACGGTCATATTTAGGACCTTGTACTGTTCTTATGTTTTACTGTAGACAAACTGTTTGTGTAATGCGGTGTTTTTCTGATCACAGTCCTGTTATGTTTCATTTAATTCTGTACCCAGACTAAAGCCACCTGCTTGCGTCATGGCGTAGTTAATAAGTCTGACACTGCAGCCGCCTTTTCTCCTCAGTTCACTGTGTCACCGCAGAGTTTTTCCCACTCTGTAGTATCCCCCGACACAGAACCCATTAATGTGCCTCTATTTATGTCCCCCATGCTCTAGGATCTGGACCGTATAGCGCCGGTATAGAGCTATTTGTCCAAAACAAACAACAGGAGCCTTGGCTCAATGACACCACGCGGGCAGCACGGCGTGAGTGGCGGAGGGCGGAGCGTAGGTTCCCATCATTGAGTTTTAACATGGCTACTCGATGTTCTGCCGTTTTTAGTCAGTTTGTGTCAGTGTCCATGTCTGTGTTGACTGAGATGGTGAGCAAACTCAAACCTTCGTCCTGTCCCACGGACCCAGTCCCTCCTCGCTTTTTTAAAGAGGTTTGGGGCACTATTGGCTCTTCTGTGAGGGACATCATCAACAGCAGCTTGCTAACTGGCAATGTGCCTTCCTTTTGTAAAAGCGCTGTTGTTGAGCCTTTGATAAAAAAAAGCAGGTCTTGATCCCATGGTTTTATCAAATTATCGCCCCATTTCAAAACTACCCTTTGTTTAAAAAATATTGGAGAAATGTGTTTTGGCACAACTGCAACCTTTTTTAAATGAAAACAGCACTTTAGACCCATTTCAGTCTGGATATAAAGCTTTGCACAGTACTGAATCTGCACTTTTAAAGGTTTTTAATGATTTGCTTTTATTGACTGATTCTGGAGGCTCCACCATTTTAGTGCTTTTAGATCTGACTGCTGCTTTTGACACTGTTGACCACACAATTCTTTTAGACCGCCTGAGAGATTGTGTGGGCGTCAGGGGGACTGCTTTGGAGTGGTTCAGGTCCTACCTGTCGGAGAGGTCTTTCTCAGTCAGGCTGGAGGATGCCACATCTTCTTCTGCCTCACTTTATTGTGGTGTCCCTCAAGGATCTATCTTGGGACCTATCCTTTTTGCACTCTATCTCCTCCCACTTGGGGAGATTTTTAACAGACACGGAGTGTCCTATCACTTTTATGCAGATGACTGCCAAATTTATATGCCAATTTCGAGAGGCCATGCCCCCCTGACGCCCCTGCTCAACTGTCTATGTGACGTCAAGGCTTGGTTAGCCCAGAATTTTTTAGTAATGAATGAGGGAAAAACGGAAATTTTAACATTTGGGCTGTATCCGAATGTCCACACTATACCCTATCCACTCACTCACTATATAGTTCGGGACTATATAGCGACTGAGTGAGTGAGTCAGTGCACTCATTCTGTTGGCGATTCGGACACATGCACACTATTTTTAGCCGTGGCCCGCATCACACCACGGCACATGTCATTGGATCAATATACTTTTAAATATATTTATATATAATTATAAGTATATTAAAATATCAATCTTTGTCTAATATACATGTATAAAATGTTTTTACAATATATTTATATACTGTATGAATTTTTGTTGACTGATTTGGTTAACGTCCTCGACCGGCTCTTCTAACACCGGTGAGATGGCACCCCACTGAATTTTTAAGTTTATCCTTACAATTATTCAACTTCTCATAATGAGAATTAAAACCTGCCGAACAGAAAGACGACGAAGACAGGCGATGAGGAGGAGGAGAATGGCTCTTCCTTCATTAGCAAGGCTCAACTCGAGTAAGTATTGTACCTTTATCTATAGCATTAGCACCATCTACTGGGTAAATTAAAGTACTTTAGGTGTACTTTCTAATAAAAAATACTATTCTCAATCAATAGGAAACACATTAGACATATACATTTAAACATATTTAAACAAGAAAACACATTGTATATACACACTCACATAAAATTCAAGAACATTTAAACACTTTATTGGTTGAAAGAACAGAAAAACATAGCAAGGGAAATGGAATAAGTCAATTTTTTTCTAAATGAAATAAAGAGTATTTAATCATTAAACAGTAATAGCATTTAGAACAACTGGGACATGTCGATGGTTTTGTATGAATCTGCTTGGCCATGGCCATACATTTTTTTGTATTGCAGCAGCAGCAGCAGAGGGGCAGATAGGTGTGAGCGATGTAGTGAGGCTTTCTCCTTCAGCTGTCTCTGACACAGATGGCAGCTCCAGCTCCCTGCAACACAGAATGCATTTGGCAAAATCAATGCCTGGGCTCAAAAGAACATGACTTCTGCTATATACTCTTCATTTTTATTTACATTAATCTCAAAATGAAGTTTTGTTATTTATTCCTGTATCTGCACTCTTAACTAAAAGTGCAGATACAGGATGAAAAACGTTTCTAGAAGAAGTATCATATTAAGTTTAAGAGCAATTTTGTTTGTATGTTTTAGGGTGAAGCAACTCTGTACTGCCGACTGAACCACCATGTACCCCTGCTCAGCATGTACTTAAATGGCCAGTCTGACCTTCGCCCCGAAGGTCTTCCTCTTTTGGTTGGCCAGTGGCACCGCGTACCGTGTTGTCGCCAGGGCATTTGACATGCCCCAGTCCACAGTCCACGATGTGATCCACAGGGTGGCCAACCAGATCCTTCAAATGCGGAACCAAATAATTCATTTCCCTTCCCTGGAGGAACTGCCCCAAGTTGCAGCTGGGTTTCAGTTGCTGGCTGGATCAGCTGCTCTCAATAATGTTGTGGGGAGCATCGACGGCTGCCACATCAGAATAAAGCCCCTTCAAGAAAATGCACAGTGTTATTTTAACAGGAAATTGTTTTATTCTATTCAAATGCAGGCTGTGTGTAATCACCGTGGCTTATTTATTGATTTGTTTGTTGGCTACCCCGGATCTGTGCACGATTCTCGGGTGCTTAAAAACAGCCCCCTCTACGTCCACCGGCTCTATCCCCCAAATGGACACGTCCTCCTTGGGGATGGTGGCTACCCTTGCCTCCGTCAGCCCATCACACTCCTCACTCCATACAGAGAGCCTGTTTGGAGCCCAGTGGAAGCCCGCTTCAACCGGCACCATGCACGGGCACGATCTGTAATAGAGAGAGCGTTTGGCATGATGAAGGCAAGATGGCGATCCATTTTTTTCCAAGGCACTGGAAGTCCAACCCACCTTTGCAGTCGAGGTGACTGCCTGTTGCGCCATCCTGCACAACATCTGCGTCAGCGATGGTGATCTCTGGGAGCCAGTGGAAGAGGAGCCAGGGCCTGATGATGAGCAGGACCAGCATCAGCAGCACCAGCCTGATCAGCAGTGTGGACAGGAGCAGTGTGGTCCTATTTAAACAGAACAAAACAATGATTATAATAAATCTAAAATTAATTGTTGATGTATGTTATATTTGTTTTATTTATAAACGTCTAGTTGATTACGTTTTATTTTGTGTTAATTGTGGTTTCATCATCGTATTTCAATAGGCATATAGTTCAAATCCCCGACTTATCAATATACATTATTAATTTATTAATTTCTCAAACATTCTCTCTAGCAAATCAACAGTTTCCTCTCTCTCTTCCTCTTTCTTCCCTTCCTCTTCTCGCTTCTCCTTTCCTTCCTTCTTCTCCACCTTCTTCCAAAAAACTTAAACAAACTCTCCCTTCTCGGCCTCTTGGCTGCCCACTCTTTCCTCTTCCTCTATCTCGTCTTGGCTTGTACGGGGGGAGGGGGTTGCACCACTGAATGTGGAAGCAGCATCCACATGGAGGAGGCAATCAGGCAGGGAGGCAGCACAGATGGCCTGCTGCCTATCGCCCCCATCATCCATGAGGGTAGTACCACTTCCAAGGCTCAGAAGGACCTCAGCCTCCTCAGAAGAAAGAGGCGACTTTGGCCCTTCTTGTGCAGGGTGTTTGTATTATGGACCAGTCCAGTTTATTGTTAATGTGAACACCCAGGTACTTGAAGCTGTCCACCAGCTCAATGTCCTCCCCCTGGATGTTCAGCAGCGTGTGGGAAAGTGGTTTTCTCCTGAAGTCGATGATCATCTCCTTGGTCTTACTGGTGTTCAAGCACAAGTGGTTGCGCTCACACCAGTCGACAAAGTCCTTGATAACCGACCGATATTCCAGTTCGTTCCCCTCAGACACACAGCCCACGATGGCGGAGTCGTCGGAGAACTTCTGCAGGTGACAGCTGTGTGTGTCGTGTGTGAAGTCTGAAGTGTAGATGGTGAAGAGAAACGGTGAGAGGACAGTGCCCTGAGGGGCCCCAGTGCTGCAGACGACCACCTCAGACTCACAGCTGCGCAGCCGCACGTACTGTGGTCGCTCTGAGAGGTAGTTGATGTCCATGCAGAGGTAGTTGATGGTCCATGCAGTGAGTGTTGTGGTCCATGCAGTGAGGTAGTTGATGGTCCTGCAGTGAGGTAGTTGATGGTCCATGCAGTGAGGTAGTTGATGGTCCATGCAGTGAGGTAGTTGATGGTCCATGCAGTGAGGTAGTTGATGGTCCATGCAGTGAGGCTACTGTCCACTCCCGCGTCCTCCATCTTCCCCGCAGCAGTGCCGGTCTGATGGTATTGAAAGCACTGGAGAAGTCAAAAAACATGACCCTCACAGCGCCCCCTGCAGGCTCCAGGTGGGAGAGCGTCCGCTGCAGGAAGTAGATGACGGCGTCCTCTACTCCGATGTTGGGTCTGTAGGCGAACTGCAGCGGGTCCAGGGTGGGGCTGACCACAGAGCGGAGATGGGTGAGGATGAGCCGCTCCATGGTCTTCATCAGGTGGAGGTCAGTGCGACTGGTCTGTAGTGAGCCGTTTTAGGAACCGGGATCACACAGGAGGTCTTCCACCAGGCTGAGGCTCAGGTTGTACATGTAACTGAGGACCCCAGAGAGCTGGTCTGCACAGGTCCTCAGCAGCCTGGGACTGATCCTGTCCGGTCCTGCGGATTTCCTCTGCTTCAGACGCTGGAGCTGACTCCTCACCTGGTCCGGTGTGATGGAGAGGGGGGCAAGACTGGGGTGTACTGTCCGAGGTGGGGGCTGGGGATGCGGAGGCAGGAGGGCCCGGGGCAGTCAAAGGCAGCGTCCACTGGGCGGTGTCCACTGGGCTGTGGACGTGTGACGAGGTGGGGGCAGGAGGGGGGGCAGATGGAGAAGGGGGAGAATCAAACCGGTTGAAGTACTGGTTAAATTCATCCGCCCGGTGCTGGTCTCCATCTGCTGTTCCTCTGGCACTGTCCAAAGCCGGAGATGTTCTTTAGGCCTCTCCACACGTCGCGGGCGTTTCCCTGGGCCAGCTTCTGCTCCAGCTTTTTCCCATAGTACTTCTTGGCCCTCCTGATCCTCCACTGGAGCTCGTGCTGGATCCTCTTCTGCTCCTCTTTGTCCCCTGAGATGAAAGCCTTTTTCTTGAGGTTCAGGAGGGCTGAACGCACCTTCTTACTTGGTACAGTGTTATCCACACAGAAGAGAATATAGTCAGTAATGCAGTGTGTCAAGCTCTCGATGTCCTCACCATGAGAGCTGCAGATCATTTCCCAATCAGTGTTTTGAAAACAATCTCTCAGCATCTCATCCACATCATCGCTCAACACTTTTACAATCCTCTTCTGCGCTGGATTTCTTCTCACCACTGGTGTGTATTCCGGAGACAGACGGACCAGGCTGTGATCAGAACGTCCGAGAGGGGGGAGGGGGGAGGAGGCGTATGCGTCCCGGACATTAACATACAGTAGGTCCAGAGTCTTATCGCCACGGGTTGGGCACGTGACATACTGTGAATGTCGGTAGAGTGGCAGAGAAGGAGGCGTGGTTAAAGTCTCCGCTGATCAGAATCAGAACGCGGGGACTGCGGGTCTGGATGTGTGACACGGTGCTGTGGATCCCCTCACATGCTGCGGCCACGTCTCCTGACGGGGGGATGTAGACACACAAAACCACGGTGTTCGAAAACTCCCACGGCAGATATCTGGGTCTCATGCTCACAGCGAGCAGCTCCAGGTCCTGGGTGCATGTACGCTGAACCACATGCACGTGCGTCGGGATGCACCACTGCTCGTTCACGTAGACTGCGACACCCCCGCCTTTGCTCTTCCCACTCCCTTCCGGTCAGCCCGCACTAGTTTGAATCCCTCCAGAGCGACCACAGAGTCTGGTATATTCCCACACAGCCACGTCTCAGAGAAACACATGATTCCACATTGTCTGTATTCCCTCTGATGGCGGGCCAGCGCCTCAGTCTTATTAGAGATGGACCGTACGTTCCCGTTAATGATGGAGGGGAGGTACAGCCTCCTCTTCCTCTTTCGGCCTCCTCTGGAGCCCCTGCGTCTCCTACGGATCACCACGGGGATAACCGGATTCTCTGAGTGCCGGAAAGCGGAGTCTCTAAGTCCGAGAAGCTGCTCCCGTGTGTAAACAATGGGACACGCGGGGGGTCCAGTGGCGCTATGAGCGGAGGAGTCCAAAAAAAGTGCCGAAAACATGCTAATCCAGTGAGAAAGTCAACGAGACTAGGCTTCCTGTGTGCACAATGCACAATATGACGTTTGCCTACAAAAAATAAAAATTAAAAAGCACATCTACACAAAATAAATAGAGAAAGGGTCGGAGAGAGAAGAGAGCCAAAGTGGCGAGCTGCACAGCGGAAGCTGGCGCCGGATTATTTTTTTGGTATGTATGTATACTGAGACAGAGGTATGTATACTGAGACAGAGGCATGTATACTGAGATAGAGGTCTGTAAACCTATACCGAGACAGAGGTATGTATACTGAGACAGAGGTATGTATACAGAGACAGAGGTATGTATACCGAGACAGAGGTATGTATACCGAGACAGAGGTATGTAAACTAAGACAGCATGTATATATACTGAGAGACAATACCTGTGTGTACAGTGTGCTAGTGCGATTTGGTGATACAGCTGCAGGAAGGTGGCGGCGGTGACCGCGGTGCGGTGCGCCTGCAGTTTGCCCACAATGATGGCCTCCATGCGGCTCAGGTCAGAGGCTGTGAAGGCTGATTGGCTGATGCGGATAAGCTCCTCCCCCGGCGTCACGTCGCACTCTCGCTCGCACGACTTAGCAGCCAGATGCAGGCAGCTCAGGCTCACACAGGATAGATGTTTGGGCCGCACCTGTACACATAAACACAGGCGTTAGGATTAGGATTAGAGAGAGACCAGAGAGAGAGACCAGACAGAGAGACCAGAGAGAGGGACCAGTACAAGCCCAAAGCCCCCCCCCGTGCTAACAACCACAAGCTAGCTGACGACCTGAACTTTTTTTTCGCTCATCATTGTCCCCGTCCCGAAGAAGCCCAGGATCACAGGACTCAATGACTACAGACCTGTAGCACTTACGTCTGTCGTCATGAAGTCATTTGAACGCCTGGTTCTCTCCCATCTCAAGTCCCTCACCTCCCCCCTCCTGGACCCCCTGCAGTTCGCCTACAGAGCCAACAGATCTGTAGACGATGCCATTAACCTGGCCCTCCACCACATCCTACAGCACCTGGACTCCCCGGGGACCTACGCCAGGGTCCTGTTCGTGGACTTCAGCTCTGCCTTCAACACAATCCTGCCATCCCTGCTCCAGGACAAGCTCTCCCAGCTCAACGTGCCCGATTCCACCTGCAGGTGGATCACTGACTTCCTGACGGACAGGAAGCAGCGAGTGCGTCTGGGGAAGAATGTCTCGGACTCTGGGATTATAAATACAGGAGCCCCACAGGGCTGTGTTCTTTCTCCCCTGCTCTTCTCCCTGTACACCAACCACTGCACCTCCAGCCACGACTCCGTGAAGCTGATCAAGTTCACGGACGACACCACCCTCATTGGACTCATCTCCAACAACGATGAGTCCGCCTACAGGAGGGAGGTGGACCGGCTGGTGTCCTGGTGTCTCCTACAGGAGGGAGGTGGACCGGCTGGTGTCCTGGTGTCTCCTACAGGAGGGAAGTGGACCGGCTGGTGTCCTGGTGTCTCCTACAGGAGGGAGGTGGACCGGCTGGTGTCCTGGTGTCTCCTACAGGAGGGAGGTGGACCGGCTGGTGTCCTGGTGTCTCCTACAGGAGGGAGGTGGACCGGCTGGTGTCCTGGTGTCTCCTACAGGAGGGAGGAGGACCGGCTGGTGTCCTGGTGTCTCCTACAGGAGGGAGGTGGACCGGCTGGTGTCCTGGTGTCTCCTACAGGAGGGAGGTGGACCGGCTGGTGTCCTGGTGTCTCCTACAGGAGGGAGGTGGACCGGCTGGTGTCCTGGTGCAGTGGTAACAACCTGGAGCTGAACGCCCAGAAGACAGTGGAGATGATTGTGGACTTCAGGAAGAGCACTGTCCCCCCGCCCCCACCCTCCGTGATGGACTCCCCCATCACCTCTGTGGAGTCCTTCCGTTTCCTGGGCACCACCATCACCCAGGACCTCAAGTGGGAGCCGACCATCAGCTCCCTCATCAAGAAGGCCCAGCAGAGGATGTACTTCCTGCGGCAGCTCAGGAAAGCCAAGCTGCAGTTCTACACGGCCATCATCGAGTCCATCCTCACCTCCTCCATCACCTCCTCCATCACCTCCTCCATCACCTCCTCCATCACCTCCTCATCACCTCCTCCATCACCTCCTCACCTCCTCCATCACCTCCTCCGTCACCTCCTCATCACCTCCTCCATCACCTCCTCCATCACCTCCTCCATCACCTCCTCCAGCACCTCCTCCATCACCGTGTGGTTCGCTGGAGCCACAGTCAGGGACAAACAGAGTCTACAGCGCATTGTGCGCTCTGCAGAGGAAGTGATCGGCCGCAGCCTTCCATCGCTGCAGGACCTGTACGTCGCCCGAGCTCGAGGCCGGGCTGGTCGTATCACAGCCGACCCCTCTCACCTGCACATGGACTATTCCAACCACTCTCCTCTCACCTGCACATGGACTATTCCAACCACTCCCCTCTCACCTGCACATGGACTATTCCAACCACTCCCCTCTCACCTGCATATGGACTATTCCAACCACTCCCCTCTCACCTGCACATGGACTATTCCAACCACTCCCCTCTCACCTGCACATGGACTATTCCAACCACTCCCCTCTCACCTGCACATGGACTATTCCAACCACTCCCCTCTCACCTGCACATGGACTATTCCAACCACTCCCCTCTCACCCTGCACATGGACTATTCCAACCACTCCCCTCTCACCTGCACATGGACTATTCCAACCACTCCCCTCTCACCTGCACATGGACTATTCCAACCACTCCCCTCTCACCTGCACATGGACTATTCCAACCACTCCCCTCTCACCCTGCACATGGACTATTCCAACCACTCCCCTCTCACCTGCACATGGACTATTCCAACCACTCCCCTCAGGCAGGAGGCTGCGGTCCATCAGGACTAGAACCTCCCGCCACGAGAACAGTTTGTTCCCCTCTGCTGTTGGACTCTTGAACACTTCTTAACCTGTCCCCCCGCCCTTTATAACCCTTTATTTTTTTATTATCTCTTTCTGACTGTTGCACTGAGCCAAAGCAATTTCCAAGTCCGTGACTTCCTGTTACTTACGTGGCAATAAAAAATATTCTGATTCTGATTCAGAGAGAGAGAAAAGAGAGAGAGACCAGAGAGAGAGACTGGAGAGAGACCAGAGAGAAAGACCAGAGAGAGACCAGAGAGAGAGACCAGAGAGAGACCAGAGAGAAAGACCAGAGAGAGACCAGAGAGAAAGACCAGAGAGAGACCAGAGAGAGAGACCAGAGAGAGACCAGAGAGAAAGACCAGAGAGAGACCAGAGAGAGAGACCAGAGAGAGACCAGAGAGAAAGACCAGAGAGAGACCAGAGAGAGGGACCAGAAAGAGAACACACACACACAGTCCGTACCCGGATCATGGCCAGGAATCTGTCAAGCAGGTTCACCGCCAGGACGAATGTCTTAGTGCTGTAACCGAAGAAGCGTGTCAGACTCAGCAGGTCCTCCACCCGGGCATCTCTGCTTTTGGCCGAGACCCCACTGCCCTCCTGGGGGGAGAGAGGGGGAGAGAGGTGGGAGAGGGAGTTACATAAGGCTCCAGTATCAACAGCACACAGCTGATGGAATAAACAAGGCCTCTCACTAAACAGTTTCTCAGCATGCGTTCTTGGTTTCTGTTGCATTTGTGAAGCTGTCCATGAAGAACCAACAATTGGTCTTATTACAGAACATGTTTTCTTTGGCATACCTTTTAGAAGGATCCCTGTGAGTCACCATTAGCCTTTTTGGGCCGAGAGGTGTTCGGCTAAATGAAGGTAGTCCTCTCTTTTGCACTGTTCTGCTTGAAAAAGCTGATCTAAATGTGACAAGAGTCCAGAAATACATGCATGTGAGAGACCAGAGAGAGACCAGAGAGAGAGACCAGAAAATTAGGTCCCCAGCTTTAATGTAAGATTGACACAGTTTCCTACCAAGTCAATCCTTGAAACAAATCTGTGTTTTAGGTGTCTCTGCTGTTTGCGTTCCTCTAATGCAAAGTTTATCTATTCATGGCAAGTTGATAGGACTGAGAGTCTTCAGGTCAAGACATGCGTCTGGTCACTATTACATCCTCGTGTGAATCATTTATGAAAGTGGTATGTCAACAGATACAACCAGCTGACAATGTTTACACACCCAGGTGAGTGATTAGCAGCAGTCGTATTAGGCCCTGTTTCCATGGAGACGCTGCGACAATAAAAGGTCAGAGTTTATATCGTGTCCTTTCGTTTCAACAGAGACGGTGTTTCAGGTGTAAACGTTGAGAGCCTCAAGAGTGGAACAGAACAGAGACACTGCGGCACGTGGCTGAGCGGATAGCACTCTTGCTTCTCAGCAAGAAAGTCCTGGGTTCGAATCCCGGTCAGAACAGGGCCTTTCTGAGTGGAGTTTGCATGTTCTCCCCATGTCTCCGTAGGTTTCCTCCAGATACTCCGGTTTCCCATGTACAATAGGTCTGGCATGCGCCTCCTGTACTGGCGACCCCGCTCCCAGTACAGGAGGACAAATGTCCAAAAAATAACAATTGTAACCCGCTTTTTGACTCTGGTCTGTGAAAGGCTAAAGAAAGATTACGTACTTACTTACTTACATCAGCAGCAGCAGTAGTAGTAGTTGTTGTGTAGCAGGAGTGTCAGCATCTGTACATTTATGAGTGATTGGCAGGTCAGTCTCTTACCCATAGACTGTATATATTAACGGACAGAGTCACGCTTATCTCTGCCGTTCTAACTAATGGGCCAATAAATGTGCTCTACTGGAGCTATCCAAAATGGCCGTGAGTGGTCCCGCCCACAAGAAAATTGTGAAAAAACGCATCTGCGCATGCGTCAGCCGGAGCAGCTCCATTAATTTAAACGAGAGACTTCACAGCAAGTAAACTAGAGTGGACCAAAAAAAATCCACCCCCCTCAGCATTGACACACATGTGGAACGGAGCTTTGGGCCAAGAGCCAACTTTTGGACCATCCTGTAAAGACGTTTTCGAGAGGTCTGCCAATGCTATATGTTAGCATTGGCTAATTCTACTTCTGGGTCCACCCCCACAGGCCCGGGGTGGTATTGCAAGCATGTCAGCGCACGTCATTTTGGCCTCTTTTGAGCTGGGACCTGCCCACACTGCTCTTACCTGAGTGGCCTCAAGGAGAGTAAGCCCCGCCTCCTTGGGCAGGTAGAGCACCTCTTGTTCAAAGGTGGCTTTGAGCTCCTTCAGCAGTCTGACCGGGTCCATGTCTGTTTGAGACACGCACACACACACACAAAACTCAATCAGTTCCAAAAAAAACCTCATTGAGACAAATTTTGACTCGACAGGTTTTGTTGTTCTAATATTACATTAGAACAACAAAACCTGTCGAGTCAAAATTATTTTTCAGCAAATGTCAGCATTAAAAAAATACATCTGTAGTCCCTAACCTTTAGATGCTCTGTATATGTGTGTTCAAATGCTATGACCTTAAATATAAAAAATTGTAGCAGATGGGTATATATAAGACGTGGGAGTGGTCTACAGCTCTGCATATACATAAAAGGGATCCGCCCTCAGCTCTGGGCCCACTTTCCTGAATCAGCTGTTGCCTTTGGGTGTCATCTTCCCTGTGTCCCTGCACCCACACTGCCCCACTGCCCTTCCAGAGTCTAAATCTGACTTTACAATCACCCGTAACGTCCTTACACAAACCAGGCCATCGATACCCCCGCGGGTTTTCACTTTCAGCCGAAATCACATTCAAAAACACGGAAGGGCTCGGTTTAAAATCCAGATATGGGGGAGGGTAGGAGGGCGAAGGAAGCGAAAAGAAAACAACAGATAATAATAATTTATCCTCGTTTTACACACGATACGATTTAGATTCCATTGAAACCACATCTGCATACAATGTTTCAATAAAAGGCAACATTACAAGTATACGTTTTTTTCTCACACAGTCGAGTTTTTGCCACACTTTGCAGTGATGTCTATAAGATAAGAATTCCTTTATTCGTCCCACAGTGGGGAAATTTCGATGTTGCAGTGCACATATAGTGTATATATATATATACAGTAGTAAGAGCACATATTGTGTTTGGGAACCGTTTGGAAGCTTCTTATTCGATATTAAGTCTTAATTATTATGATAATTATTCACTGAACTGCATTGTGAAGACACTCTTCACAATTTCTAGCAACAGCTTTGATTCCAACATTGAACATTAGCGGTTATAACCTACATTTAAGCCATATAAAATGAAACAGTGACGCGTAAAATAACTCTTAATAACAACAATGCATTGGTCGTCAACATGTATTAGTGCTATGTGTAACATATTGACGTGGGCTGGAAATCTTACCGTAGTGTTTAGTCGCAGTTTGTTCAATAAAACAAATAACAGTCGTCTCCTCTCAGCTGTTTTTCCCCTTTGTTTACATCACGTAGCTCCCAGACCCGCCCCCTTTCTCCGTCTGAGCTTTTTCTCCAACACAGTAAAACCAACCCTGTATCACTTTACGTAGGTAGCTCGGATAGAAAACACGTATTTTTGACAGTATATTATTACGCTAACAAAAGAAAGCTAGGCTTAAGACTGGATTGTAAACAAGTACATTTGGGTAAGCTTTGCGTTTTAGGGGAAAGGAACGATGATAAGCCTTTACAGATTTGCGGTAGAGAAAATGTTTCGCGTTGTAGCAAAACAAAAATGGCGAAACATTTTACGTTCTTATAAGCGATTTAAGGATTGAATTCGTCAAGCACAGTGATATATAATGAAGCAAACAGTACCCACGTGTTCTACGCAGACTCATACCGTGTAATGTCTTTAACAAAAAGGCTGCAACTGTTAAAATTAGATATGTTCCGGGAAGGTTGTCCCAGTCAACGCAGCCAGCCAATTGGGAACGAGGGATGTTGGAACTTCAAAAAGTCCGCCCAAAATGAGAGCCTGTGATTGGTCAACGTTAACGTGCCTATTTAAACAAGTGATGGATCCTTTTCTCATCCTGCTTGAGCCGTCCTAGATAAATTATTGTACAACCATTTATTTAGTAATAAAAAAACATGTACAGAGATGGCTAAAGTGCTAGACTTTAAAACCTAACTGTGAGAGCCAAAACAGTTAAAATGCTGAAAAGTGTTTAATTTAAAGTTAAAAATATATATTTTTTGTTAAAAGGTCAATCAGACTATATGTTAAAAAAGATTAAAACACTAATGTTAAGCCTAAAATTTTAAATTTCTAAAGGCCCTAAAAATGGCATACTTCATTGTAAGTTCACAATATTCAAACCCTATGGTCATTGTGTTGTTGACAACAACTGTCTAAAGTTTTGTAAGGATTTAGCAGACAGAGACGGATCGTGGTGCGCCAAACTCTGGAAGTTTATTTAAGTTTCTCTCAAGTTCCACTAGTTTACTCTGTTTCTTTCTCTCAGACAGAATAAAGGCAGTACACAGTTTATATAGTCATTGTCACGTCACACATCGAAAGACATACGTGTCACAAAGAGACAGTCACATCATAGTCATAACATGGAGTCCTTGTAGAGTCCTTGTACAGTCCTGCACGTAGGCCATATTGCTATCTAATACTAACACCCTCCCCTTTGATCACATAATCACATGTGATCACTCAATTTGATCAATCAATAAAGTGGAAAAAGAAAAAAAAAAATCCTAAAAAAAAAAAAACTTTAAAAATTATTAAAAACAAAGAAAATGTATGCATTAAACTCATAATCATCCAATCAATATCAGTGGATTTTATCCTCTATCCTGGGAAAAAAAACAAACAAAAACAAACAAACAAATCAAAAATTAAAAAAAACAAAAATAAAAACAAACAAACACTATTGGACACACAAGAACTCAGCAGATTCAGTCAAAACACAGACAAAAACGAGCTGAGTCTCAAATTTGAAGCTAATTTCACTTTTATTACTCTATACTTTTATTCTAATGCTAATTGTTTACACTTCACTTATTTCACTGTATTATTTTCACTTATCAATCTTAGACTGTGTACTTTACTTTTACTATCACTATAGTTTAAAACTATTCTAATCTATTTACAAATATGTTTGCATATTTGCTTCTATTGAGCCATATTCTTAAACTAATAAATCTCTCTGTGGTATTACACTCTCATTATCAGTGGCTTATTATCAGTGGGATTTTGTTCTATCTCTATTCTACATTCTCAGGAATAAAACTGTGAACACAGTAAGGCAAATGGTCAACATTTACACTTCTATAGTGGTCAGTGATTTATTACTTTTTATTATCTAAAGATATTATTGTCAGGCAGTTTGGGATGAATGTACATCATTAATCAAATTAGTATTATCCTTACAAGAGCTAATCTATTTGAGCAGGTTTGGGGTTGGGGTCAGTTATTCTACAATGGTGTTTGTGCTGGAAACTTCTCAATATCTAAATATCTACTATTGTGTTTTTGTGCTATACACAAATACATCAAAATGCTTTTAAATGCTTTTGAATCTCTGTTGGTTGTAATCTATCTCATTGATCTAGGCTACACTCATATAAACTTTTTGCATAGTCAACATTCACTCATGTTTGAACACAAGTGAATTTGGCAAGTATCTAATAAAACTGTACATAAACTGTAATTAACTTGATTTACTTCTGAAGTAAATGTTTGTGAAATGGTCCCTTTACCATTTGATATTAGCACTGGCTAAGAATATTCTCTATTTTTGAAAGCATCTATGGTTGATGCATTTATCTATTCCTATTTTTACTCTATTTTTTAACTCAAAAGCTCGGCTGCAGCTTGAGCAAAGGCATATTCCTAATTTGTGACTTCTGTCACTTTTAATATCTCTAAAATAACTCTGATTCTAATATTCTAGCTGCTCTATCAAAAGGATAACATTGTATGGTACTATTTTAACTCTTACGTGGAAATATGTTTATGAAAAACAAAGGAAGTCAAATTCTACTTTTTTACTACTATTTAACATCTACTAAAACGCTACAATACTCAAACTTTATCATTTTCAAAGTTTTTGTCTGTCAGATGTCTGAATACTTAACATGTATATTGCATTTGTCACAGTTGTGGTTCTGGTTGTAGCAATAGCATCGGCAATAGACGTTTTCATTGGCTGGTTCTTGTTCTGCAAATGTCTGTGTCCAATAGATCATCAGATGTCCAGAAGCTAGGGACAAACAAAAACAAAAGAAAGAATCATGAGTATCTCTCTCATTTAGCACTTATCAATGTATGATTTCAATAATATAAACATCACTCCCCAGTTTTCTCTCAGGTCCTCAGGTCCTCAGGGTCCCCTGAGGGTGAGTCTCAGTCGTCATCAGGTCAGGTCATATTTCGAGAGATGTCATCTTGGACATCAGTAGGGTCCAAGCCATGGTTCTGGTCTCTCCAGATGCACATCAGGATCTCCAGATACAGTCTTTTCAGTTGAAGCACATCAGGTCATTTGCGATGCACTTCTGGTCAATGGTGCAGTGTCTCAGTTCCTGTGCACAGCTTGTAATGCAGTAGTTACTTTCTATGGTTAAGTCACTTTGATTCTACTTTAACACAATTTCTATTCATGCTGTTGCTAATGTCTCTCAGACAAAAGCAAGCGCAGTTTACTTCTCTAATTTGTGTTTTTATCAGATCTAATTCTAATCAATGTAATTACTTCACACAGTACAAAATCAAAACATCAAAAGTGTCAGGACAGACGTCAATTAAGTCCATGACAATATAGAATTCAAATGAACATTTCTGGTCTCAAAAAATACTGATTCAAATAAAGATTCAAGTGATAGACAATTAAAAATGTGTTTACATTGGAGTAAACTTTTAATGCTTTTTCCTCATGTTCTACTTTTTCATGTATCTATATGTAAATGTGAATGTGTGAGTGTATGAATGTGTGTATGTGTGTGTGTGTGTGTGTGTGTGTGTGTATGAATTTTGGGGTTGTGTGTCCAGACTCCTCGAACCACCTGCAGGTCTCAAAGGTCACACTGTGGTGATGCAAACCAACTGGACACACTTTCAACTCTCATTCAGGTCTCTCCCTGACGCTCCACCCATCACTGCCTCCAGAAACCTCCACTTTTCATGGCCCCGGTCTCACTCCCACTTACTTCTGTAGTGGGGGGAGGGGCAAGGAGGTGGCATTTCCCTTTGCTCTTTGATCTGTGACCTGTGGCTGGGTGGGCTTTGCTGTCCAGTGTCCACTCCAGCAGTCCAGTGACCCTGTACAGTGTGTGCCCTTGGTTCTGGAAAACAACCTTATAGTCAAATTAAAAACAACGGAGATTGTGAATGAGATTGTTTTTCTTTCTGAAGTCAAAACAATTTGAGCGCTCTGGTTTTCCCAAGCGCTATGTAAATAAAAGATTACTTATTATCTTACTAATGATGACATTTTAAAACCAGAAACTAAAGAAGTTATCAAAACAACAATTATACTCAAAACAAACAACCTTTTAAACTTTAAAACATGTATTATATACTTTTGTACTGTGTGATTAATTATCTGTGCATTTATCTCAGCATATATTTTACTAATTTAAAATAATTGCTGCATTTTTCAAATGAAGTCAGTATGAATTGGAGCACATTTTAGACCAGGCTCCTGTGCTGTGTGCATCAGCAGGAGCAACAAGGTCAGGCGTGTAGTCAAAACAAAAACAAAAGTCACCACTTGCATGTGAATTGGGTAGTTTAACTTAATAATACTTTTACAGCTAATCTAATTCCCTCTTTTCTTTTTTAGACGAAGTCTACAATCATTAATCACTTTTAACAGATTCTAATTTAAATGTTTGAAAAACGGCTTTTGTAACTAAAATAAAAAATACATGAAAAAATTCTCACAAACAGCTATGAAATATATCAGAGATACAATAATGGACTCACAAAATAAGCAGCAGATTTAAAAAGAAAAGCAAAGCTTTTTGTACTAATCTTTGGGTTTCAAAAACATACTAATTCAAAACTTCTATTTACTAAATGGTGTTTAAAAACGTTTAACTGTGTCTAACACAATGTTCAAATGGCAAATTTAGCAAATTTAACGGAATAACTACTATGAAAAGCCAAATTCCTAAAGCAGTAGCTCCCCTTTAAATCAGAGCAGCAGCTCAGCAGCAGCGAGGGCGGGGGGGTTCCTTTCACACAGACGCGCACACACAGGCAGAAAGACACAGAAGAAGAACTTTCAAGATTAATTTTTTAAGCAAATATAACTGATGTTGTTCTTTATACTTTTGTCATCCAAGTCTAGAAATGGCCACTTTCCACACTAGTAACAAAAGGCACTCTTGTCTTTAACGTTTACGCTTCTATTTTATCGAGGTAGCAAACTAGTTTAAACTCAAAATCTCTTTCTAAAAAACAAAAACAACTGTTGGATACAGCCCTCTCATAGCTCAACTGTAGATAAAACTTGGCAAAAAATGTAAATAACTCACGAAAGCTCTCATAGCTCAACTTTAGATAAAACTCTGCATTCTCCGGTGAACTCTGTTCACTCCAAAAAACAAAAAACTCCCTTTTTCATCCATCCATCCATCTTCTACCCTTTAATCCATTTCTGGGTCAGGGGGGTGGCAATCAGAGCTGCCACCCAAGTCTCATAGCACCAGCCCCCACTGACCCTCTGCAGGTGGTGAGTCCACAGGAGGACGGTGCTCTCTGAGTGTGAGCATAGCCTTGATCTTTCAGTGGGGGCTTTGGGCAAAGTGGGGTTAAGTGTCTTGCCCAAGGACACAACGACAGCAGTCATTAGTGGGAGTCGGTGGAGAAGGTGGAGGTGGAGAAAACTCCCTTTTTCTCTATGTAATTTAAACCGTGATCACTGAAATATTGTTGCTTATGTACTTTTGTCATTTATCAGCTTGAAATTCGTCAATTTCAAAGCTTTTGTAACAAAGGCCTCCTTAACCCGTTTCCCTTTTTATAAATTGCTTTTCTGTTTACACCATGGTTTCTCTCAAAGGGACTTTAACCCTGAAGCTTCTTCTCAAAGGGACTTTAACCCCGAGGCTTTTCTCAAAGGGACTTTAACCCCGAGACTTTCTCAAAGGGACTTTAACCCCGAGACTTTCTCAAAGGGACTTTAACCCCGAGGCTCAAAGGGACTTTAACCCCGAGACTTTCTCAAAGGGACTTTAACCCCGAGGCTCAAAGGGACTTTAACCCCGAGACTTTCTCAAAGGGACTTTAACCCCGAGACTTCTCTCAAAGGGACTTTAACCCTGAGACTTTCTCAAAGGGACTTTAACCCCGAGGCTTTCTCAAAGGGACTTTAACCCCGAGACTTTCTCAAAGGGACTTTAACCCCGAGGCTCAAAGGGACTTTAACCCCGAGACTTTCTCAAAGGGACTTTAACCCCCAGGCTCAAAGGGACTTTAACCCCGAGACTTTCTCAAAAGGACTTTAACCCCGAGGCTCAAAGGGACTTTAACCCCGAGACTTTCTCAAAGGGACTTTAACCCCGAGGCTCAAAGGGACTTTAACCCCGAGACTTTCTCAAAGGGACTTTAACCCCCAGGCTCAAAGGGACTTTAACCCCGAGACTTTCTCAAAAGGACTTTAACCCCGAGGCTCAAAGGGACTTTAACCCCGAGACTTTCTCAAAGGGACTTTAACCCCGAGGCTCAAAGGGACTTTAACCCCGAGACTTCTTCAAAATACAATTTAGAGAGTTTGACAGACCCCAAAAAACAGACCAAAATTTAGCTAATATCCAATTATGCAGACTTTACATATTAAAAAAGGTGTCTGCTTACCTTATTCTTGTCAAACCGGTTCCAAGGACTGTCCGAGAGGTCTGCCAACCTCTTTTCCGCGTCGGAATATTCAATTTAAAAAACAAAACAGAGAAAGTGAGGGAGCAAGAGCAAGCCCATCCAAAAGCGAGCCCTTTCAGCGTCCGCTGGGATTTCTCCCCTTCCAGATAACGTGCTGTTGCTCCCACACGCCGAGAAAAAAAAAACAGAGAAAACTCCCTCAAAACAATCCAGAGAATAGCACACACGGAGCCGCGCATTCTCCACCAAATCTGTTAGGATTAGGCAGAGAGAGACGGATCGTGGTGTGCCAAACTCTGGAAGTTTATTTATGTTGCTCTCAAGTTCCACTGGTTTACTCTGTTTCTTTTCCTCAGACAGAATAAAGGCAGTACACAGTTTATATAGTCATTGTCACGTCACACATCGAAAGACATACGTGTCACAAAGAGACAGTCAAATCATAGTCATAACATGGAGTCCTTGTAGAGTCCTTGTACAGTCCTGCACGTAGGCCATATTGCTATCTAATACTAACAGTTTCAGACTTCTAAGTTTTATAGTTTTAATGCATTTTACTGACTTTCTATCCTCATAAAAACCATATTATTTTTTTTGAAACTTATAAGTTACTAATCTATGTGATTTTTTAAAACATTGTTTCAAAGTTAATATTTTATGAGTGTAAAATCATTGCTGCTCCGTCAGAGCCTGTCTCCAGGCCATTACGCAGCGGTCGGCACTAGATCATACACGGAATCGGGACGGAAGCGGAAGTAAAAATAACAAACTGTGGTGCGTAAGGAGCGGAGTCGGAGGCGGTGTGTCAAACAGCGGTGACAAACGTACACGTTTTAATGCCATAAAACAGCCAGTGTTAACAAAACTCCTCACACAACCAAAAACATTTCTCCTAGTCGGAAAACTGTGCAACGGTTTTTTCTGTCCCCCGGAACCCCACCAGAGTAACCACAGTTCCATGGGTGAATTATGTAAACCACCACACAAGCCCCCCCAGAATTCAACCATAGTCAAAATCCCCACTCCGGAATGGAATGATGGCCCGACCACTCCGAGTACAAGTGGCAGGGGCTGAGGGGAGGGAAGCGGGGGACGCAGCCGGCACCGTCCCGGTCGAAGGAACTCCCGACTGACCAGGGGAACAAAGTACTGGGGGGCGTCCGCGGCGTGGGGCCTGGGCCAACACCAACGGTCTGGAAATGTCCACATGAGCAGGCTTGATCCTATCAACGGAAATAGTTTCAGGTCTACCCCCAATGTCCACGACCAGGCTCTTGTCCCCATGCTGCAAAACCTTAAACGGGCCGTCGTAAGGGGGACGCAGCGGTCCACGGTGGGCGTCGTGGCGGACGAAAACAAACGACGCAGAGCGGAGGCCAGCGGGCATCCGGGACTCAGGGGAGCAGTGCTGCGACGTAGGAACAGGCGCAAACCCCGTGGCCACCTCCCGCAGGGAGGACCGCTGTTCGGTAGCAGACCAAGGTCTCGTAGCATCCGGTATAAAATCCCCAGGCACCCGCAAAGCCTGGCCGTAAACAAGCTCGGCAGACGAGGACTGCAGATCCTCCTTGGGGGCGGTCCTAAGGCCAAGCATGACCCAGGGCAGTTTGTCCACCCAGTTGCCGTCCGTCAGGCTGGCCCGAAGGGCAGCCTTCATAGAGCGGTGGAAACGTTCACACAGTCCGTTAGCCTGGGGGTGGTATGCGGTGGTGCGGTGCAACTTGACACCCAAACCCCCCGCCACAGCGTTCCAGATCTCCGAGGTAAACTGCGCACCCCGGTCAGAGGATAGATCAGAGGGCGTGCCGAAACGCAAAACCCACGTGCCAATGAACGCCCGAGCCACATCGGCAGACGTGATAGAGGCGAGGGGAACAGCCTCAGGCCAGCGCGTCGTCCTGTCTACCATCGTGAGGAGGTAAGTGAAACCACGTGAAGGGGGAAGCGGCCCCACCAGGTCGATGTTAACGTGGTCAAACCTCCTCTCCGGAACAACAAAAACCTTAGCACGCTGACAGGCCACACAAGAATCAACCCAGGCCCGCACATTCTTCTTGAGTCCTCTCCAGACGAACTTTTGCGATACAAGCCTAACAGATGCCTTTCTGCCAGGATGGGACAGGCCGTGTATAGTCTCAAAAACAGACCGCTGCCAGCTGGCAGGGACCAGAGGCCTGGGCTGGCCGGTAGAGGGGTCACACCACAACCTGACCCCAGAAGCGCCGACCGCGACCTTTCCCAGCTGCAGTCCAGTGTCCGAGTCCTTGAGGGACTGAAGGGTGCGGTCTGCGGCTGGTCTGCACCCATACGCTCGTAGTCTAGTCCGAGCTGGACCGCACCAACGACCGCCCTGGAAAGACAATCCGCAACCACATTGGATTTGCCGGCTAGTGGAAACGGCGTCCACCTTCGAAGGGAGGGGGGCAGCCCCCTCACTGGTGATGAGATGCCCAAGGAACTTTATGGACGGCACCCCAAAAACACACTTAGCCGGGTTAATGATCAGCCCGTGCTGGTCGAGCCGTGTAAAAAGAACTCGGAGATGTGTCAGGTGCTCCTCCTCCGAGGAGCTGGCGACGAGGACATCGTCCAAGTAGACGAAGATGAAAGGCATGTCCCTGAGTGCCGAGTCCATTAGCCGCTGGAACGACTGGGCTGCGTTCTTCAGGCCAAAAGGCATCCTGAGGAACTCGAACAGCCCGAAAGGAGTCACCACTGCTGTCTTCGGGATGTCCGCAGGGTGCACCGGGACTTGGTGGTAACCCCGCACCAGATCCACTTTAGAGAACACGGACTTCCCCGCCAAATGTACGGAAAAGTCTTGAATGTGGGGCACCGGGTAACGATCGGGCGTGGTCGCATCATTAAGACGGCGGTAGTCACCACACGGACGCCACCCACCGTCTGGCTTCGGAACCATGTGGAGTGGTGAAGTCCACGGGCTGTCAGAACGGCGAATGATGCCAAGTCGTTCCATGTTGGCGAATTCGGCCTTGGCAGTCGTCAGCCTCTCCGGATTGAGCCGCCGGGCCCTGGCGTGGATAGGAGGGCCTCTGGTCTCGATGTGGTGTTCGACTCCGTGTTTAGCCGTAGCAGCCGAGAAAGTGGGCCGCGTCAGGTCAGGGTACTCCATGAGGAGCCGCAGGTACTTGTCACCTTCAGCAAGCGAGCTGGAGAGACCATTGTATGTCCCCTCATCGCAGACACACGCGAATGAGGAGAAGGTCAAAGCGTCCACCAGGCGGCCATTTTTGACATCCACGAGTAACCCCTGGGCGCACAGAAAATCTGCACCGAGGAGGGGAAACGAGACATCGGCCGTGACAAAGTCCCATGTAAACCGCTGGCCCCCGAAACATACGTCCACAGCCTTTGTGCCATATGTCCGGATAGGGGTGTCATTGGCGGACGTTAAGGGCGGGCCATGCAACCCCCCAGCAGCATCGTCCACTGTAGCCGGCAGAACGCTCCTCTGGGCGCCAGTGTCACAGAGGAACCTGCGCCCGGACAGGGTGTCCAAAACAAACAGCAGCCGGCCCTTCGCGCCTGCGCTCACGGCCACTACTGAGCGCAGGCCTTGGCGTTTCCCGTCGCGTTGAAACTGCATGGGGAGCGGCACCTCTTAGCTTTGGCCCCGAAACGCGCATGGAAGTAGCACAAACCAGGGCTGGCCGGGCCGTCAGTCACAATGCGCCCCCTAACAGGCAGAGCGGCCGCACCAGGGGGGGGGGTGTAGCTGCGTGTCGGGGCCAACACGTCAGGGACGAAACGATGGGTGGCCAGAGCACGTGGCTCCGTAATGGCTGTATTTGCGAGAGCCGTCTGCACGTGAGGTGGCATGTGTCGCAGAAACAGTTCCACAGAGAAGTCCCGGGTTGAAATCCCGGACGAGCCCAGTCGTTGCGTATATACATTTATTTTATCTTTGATGTAACTACATCATTCTGCACGTGAGTTTCTCAACTATGTGGTCAAAGCGCCTGTCTAGTAAACAGGTACTCCCGGGTTTGCATCCCAGCATTGCCATTTTACCTTGAACATGGAGTAACTTTATATACGTATTTCAACCTTTTGGTGCTCGTAAGTGAGTAAGCTTTATTTATATACCGCCTTTCACAGACCAGAGTCACAATCTGGAAGGAAAAGAGACAAAAGTCAACAGAATTTCCCTTCTCCAGGAAGTGTTTGGCCAAAAATGTGCTCCAACCATGAGCAGAGGTAGCCAGAACCCCAGTCAGCATATTTTCGCTCTCCCCTGTCTGTAGCTTTGCGCAGTGGCAGTATCGTTGCTTATGAGGGCTAACCGAGGCGCGATTATTGCTAGTTGAAAACTTTACCCAATACCCCGCCTTGACTACTTGAAATACAGATAGTCAAGTCAATTTTTAAAACTCTCTTAGCAGGCTTAGTTGCATGTCAAATAACATTAACTGAAGGACTTAGTACGCACATCTACTGTCAAGAGAAGCTTGCTCCAAGGCAAGAACAATGTTCAGTAGGAAAGGTTCACCTATCAAAATAATGAATTTAGAATTTGATTGTGAAAGGAAGTTATTCTAGCAATTGTCATCATACTGGCTGGCTCATTGCCTCAGGGTATTATTTCTCAGTGAATTTATACTTTGGCAGGTTTTCAAAGTGAGCTGTAAGCTGACCAGTGGCCTAATGGATAAGGCACTGCCCTCTGCGACAGAGACTGTGGGTTCGAGTCCCATCTGGGGTGAGGGATGAGTGCAGTCTTAGGAAGAAGTTGTAATTTACTACAGTGATCCTTTAGTCTTGGGACTTGATCTAAAGATGCAACTCAAGACAGCAGAACGAAGAAAGGTTTCTTCCCCTTCTTTGCAGGTTTTCCCAACGCTTCCTCCTCAATCCAAATAACTTTTTCAAGGAAATGAAAGCTCAGGCCGAAGTTGGAGATTTATTACCTGTGGGTGTGGTTAGACATCCCATGGGAAAACCTGCTAAGCACAGATGGGTGAGAAACCTTTCTTCATTTGGACTAATCCAAGTGCGACTGAGAGCTTGGAAGCAATCCACACAGCAGAGTGGCGCAGCGGAAGCGTGCTGGGCCCATAACCCAGAGGTCGATGGATCGAAACCATCCTCTGCTATAAGGAAGGTGACTCTTTTCATCCAAGAACAACCTTATTCAGAGGTTTAATTATGTAAAATTCCTTAGATTAAAAAAGATACAGGCCAATTTTACAAAGACATGTCCCCTATGAAACTCTAAATTGTTACTTTTTAAAAAGGTCAGAGTTCCATCTGGGGTGACATGAAATTGCCCATGGCTTTCTGTTTGTGTTTAAAGGGACTAAGAGTTCAGGACTGGATCCAACCTTTCATTGTGGACCAACCGGCCTCACAACCGCCGAGCACGTGTAACCACACCAGGCCAGGACCTTTACCTCCAAGATGGTCTGAGACCAGCCACTGAAACAATTGGTTTGCATAACCAAACAATTTCTGCACAAACTGTCAGAAACCGTCTCAGGGACGCTCAAATGCATGCTTGTCGTCCTCATCGGGGTCTTGACCTGACTCCAGCTCATCGCCATAACAGACTTGAGTGGGAAAATGCTCACATTGGATGGCGTCTGGCACAGTGTAGCGGTGTTCTCCATGACTTCCTCAACTCTAATCCTGGGTTTTTTTGGTCTCTAATGGAGGTTTAGGTTCAAATCCCACTCCTGGCAATCCTTTTGGAAAAGGTGACCAATATTGAAATGGTTTGACATTCTTCCAAGCAACTGAAAAAAAGAAAATTCACACTTGGACTTTGGCTAAAGGGTGAAGGGAAACGTTATAAATGTATTCAATATTTGGACCTGTGGTAAGTGAATGTTCAAAAAGGGCCAAATAACTGCCAGTTTTCATTCAAGCAAATGTAACTCAAGGTCCTTCTATATGAGGTCAAACTGGTAGTTGAGAAGCTGCCTTAGTGGCGCTGTGGCTTAGTTGGTCAGAGCACCTGTCTTGTAAACAGGAGATCCTGGATTCGAATCCCAGCAGTGCCTTTTTACCTTGAACATAGAAAAACAGTCGGTAGAGCATGAGACTCTCAGGGTCGTGAGGGCGAACCCCATGTTGGGCGGTCTTTGCAATTGATGCTTATTTTCCCAATCTTCAAGCAATATATGCTTTCATCCGTGGGGTTTTCAGTGTCAAGCAAACCTCTCACAAGTAAGAGCTGTGCGTACATGCCGAAATGGCTCATTTGGGAGTTAGCGTTAGACTGAAGATCCAAAGGTCCTTGGTTAGATCCCGGGTCTCGGCAGTCAGAGACAGTGGCAACTCAAAGTTCTTTGTTCAACAACACCCAAAAACATGGCTGATGCTTTTGAGAGGATCCTATAACGGTCCTGTTAAGGGAACCCAAGAATTCCAGTCAATAGTCAAGCTAGTATTACCCTGTTTACCCTATTTGGAACTGTGCTAAGTGAATGTTCTAAAACGGCCACATAACTGCAATTCGAGGTCCTTCAATATGATGTCAAACTGGTGGTTGACATTGTACTTGAGTGGCGCTGTGGCTTAGTTGGTTAAAGCGCCTGTCTCGTAAACAGGAGATCCTGGATTCGAATCCCAGCAGTGCCTTTTTACCTTGAGCCTCAGTGGGAGGCAAGGTTTCGCTAAGATATGTTGCAGTGGAGCCACATAGAGCCCAATCCCACTGAGCATTTAGTTGATGGTCAAATCATGGCAATTTTCCTCAACATTTAGCCCAATGCTTCAGAAGCTGTAAATTGTGCACAATACGTCAATGGGAGGCAAGGTTTCGCAAAGATACATGTTGCTGTGAATGAGAGGACATTTTCTGATTGTAAATCTTGCAATGGCTGTGGTGAATGGCTCGTTGGTCTAGGGGTATGATTCTCGCTTAGGGTGCGAGAGGTCCCGGGTTCAAATCCCGGACGAGCCCAATCCCACTGAACATTTAGTTGATGGTCATATCATAATTCATTGGCAGTTTTCCTCAATATTGAGCCCAATACGTCAGTGATTAGATGTCGCTGTGGATTGGCACACATTTTCCAATTGTAAATTAGGCGATCTCTGCGGGGCTGTTTGTGTGGCTCGTTTGTGTGATTAATTTTTGTGGCTCGTTGGTCTAGGAGTATGATTCTCGCTTTGGATGCGAGAAGTCCCGGGTTGAAATCCCGGACGAGCCCAGTCGTTGCGTATATACATTTATTTTATCTTTGATGTAACTACATCATTCTGCACGTGAGTTTCTCAACTATGTGGTCAAAGCGCCTGTCTAGTAAACAGGTACTCCCGGGTTTGCATCCCAGCATTGCCATTTTACCTTGAACATGGAGTAACTTTATATACGTATTTCAACCTTTTGGTGCTCGTAAGTGGAAGGAAAAGAGACAAAAGTCAACAGAATTTCCCTTCTCCAGGAAGTGTTTGGCCAAAAATGTGCTCCAACCATGAGCAGAGGTAGCCAGAACCCCAGTCAGCATATTTTCGCTCTCCCCTGTCTGTAGCTTTGCGCAGTGGCAGTATCGTTGCTTATGAGGGCTAACCGAGGCGCGATTATTGCTAGTTGAAAACTTTACCCAATACCCCGCCTTGACTACTTGAAATACAGATAGTCAAGTCAATTTTTAAAAGTCTCTTAGCAGGCTTAGTTGCATGTAGTGATGTGCTGAGCGGACCGAGTCTTCGAAGCGTGGACCGAGTAATCTGGGGGCGTTTCTTGTGAAGTGTGGGTCGAGGCGTGTATTGGTCACGTGTGTGGTGACGTTCGAAGCCTCGCGTAGCGGCCGCACCACGTGACGGTTCATATAGTGCTTCATATAGTTCGGAGAGTGCATTGCTTTGACAGGTGCTTTGTGATCCGCGGCTGTACCATAGACTGTATTGGCTGTCCCCGTCTGCCTCTGTGTGCGTACGTGTGTGTGTGTGCGTACGTGTGTGTGCGTGATGTGGAGCAGTCCTGTACTAAGAAACTGCTTCATATGAAATACAATTAAAAACGTTTCACTTTAGTAAAACCTCATATATCAAGGCTTCAAGTTATTAGTAATAATACGCTGGATAATACATTTCACAACAGCTGTGTGGCGCAGTCGGTATATGACGGACTCCGAAGCAGAAGATATAGCGTTCGAATCCCGGTCTACCCATAATAAATTTTGTGTTGCAAAGTAAATGTATTTATTTATTGGGAATAAATGGTTTGTTGTGTTTAATTAATCCACCCTTGGTAGTTTTTCCTCCATTAATCACTTTCTGTAGAACTGTATTACTTTGGATGTGTTTGTTGTATCAACACAATTGACTGAAAGACTCAAATAGTTCATAGTTCATGAAGCATCATTTCAAACACAACACGTTAGACCATAGATTGTAAATATACATTTTAACATTAGATCTCACCATTCATTGTAAGCACTTAAGAGTGTTATGTATTTCTTTGTCCACATGATGGCGTAGTGGAGCATGATTCACCTTGAGCCTTCGACTCATGGGCCGAGTAATAGGCTGCGATCCCTCAAGGCTTCATGGGGCTTCATATTGCCATCACTAGTTGCATGTCAAATAACATTTAGTGAAGGACTTAGTACGCACATCTACTGTCAAGAGAAGCTTGCTCCAAGGCAAGAACAATGTTCAGTAGGAAAGGTTCACCTATCAAAATAATGAATTTAGAATTTGATTGTGAAAGGAAGTTATTCTAGCAATTGTCATCATACTGGCTGGCTCATTGCCTCAGGGTATTATTTCTCAGTGAATTTATACTTTGGCAGGTTTTCAAAGTGAGCTGTAAGCTGACCAGTGGCCTAATGGATAAGGCACTGCCCTCTGACGACAGAGACTGTGGGTTC